TCCATCAGGTAACTTTCCTGAACACAGATGACATCGGACCATGTCTTACCTCCGACGCCCTTCAGTTGTTCCTTGATCGCCTGCCGTTTCGAGGGGTTGAAGGAGGTTAGTCCGCTAACGTTAGGGTTCTTATGTCTAAATCTGCGTAACGGAGACAGTGCTTCCAATACAGGTTCCTACAATACAAAGTGTCAATGTCATCCATTAACGCTTTTCGTGCAACCCTAGACCCAAATCCATGGTCTAGCGGACCAATCTACTGTGCAAGGAAACCCGTTTCAGAGGACTCTTGATAAACACCTATGTAGACCCCCGTACGAATATGGGCCGTACGTATGTACGTACGGCCGTGCGTACGGGCTCATGTGGTAGTACGGGTCGTACGTACGAAAAAAAAAGCAAAAAAAAAGTTTCAAAAAAATATGAAAAACAAAAAAATTATGCAGAAAAATAAATTGAAACACTTTTGCCTCAGGGTCATATTAAAATTCGTTACCAAAATTGAGATAAAAAAACAAAATGATTCCTTTTTTTTTTTTTTTTTTTTTTTTTTTTTCATACGGGGCTGTTCATACGACCGTACGATAAACCCCCTGTACGTCGTATGGAGTGTTACACAGATAAGCACGTCCGCAGATCCTCATCGGTCCAAAAAGAATTGGCTTTTAGTTGTTGGAGGGGAATCTCCATCAGAGCTGTGTGATTAAACCATTTTAAGTTAGAATCATTTTCCTCCTCGAAAAAAACGTACAGGTCCGCTACCCTCATCAACCCGTAAAATTGGGGGAGGGTTGCAAGGACCCCAGCCGGGTAATGTTGGCGCAAGAAAGGGTCCGCTTTCTTTTTGAAATCACTGTCTCTCGGACCGGGGAGGGACCATATATTATAGAAGCCCCATCCTGGTAGTGTGAACCCTCCTTGCAGAGGAGAGAGCCCAATCTCCATCCTGTCGTCTGCATATCTCAGAGGTATCACTGCCACACCCTCTTTTTGTAGCAGGTTCTTTTGGTATTGGCCTGCATGTGTCTGAGTTTTTTGTGACGTGGAAGGTTGACCGGGACCAATGATTAAATCTCTTCCAGGGTTTCGGGAGATGATGGGTTCTGAGGCGGGGGGTGGAACTGCTGGGTTGTAAGGTGGCGGATCCGTTGAAAAATCTCGAACCACGTGATGTGTGTGGGGGGGGCGCCTTCGAGTGCACTCCACAAGGTCGGGCTCTTGTCTAGAATGGTGAACAGTTGGGTGTAGGAGCAGTCCCGGAAGTCCTGTGACCCTCCGGGGTGTTGGGCTAAAAAACCCTCCATCAGCCACTTCGCGATGACCCTAAGCTTCTGCTCGATATCCATATCGGTCGGTGGAGCCCCCGTACCCTCCCCTTGGTCAATGTCCATCGCTGCCACTTCAAGGGGCGGTGGGAGGGGAACTGAAGGTTCCTCAACCTCCATAGGCTGCGGTCCGAAGGCCCCTTCAAGGTAATCCTCTGTGGTGGGTTCAGCCTCCTGATGAGTTGGTGCAACTCCGACCAAACATTCTGTCATCATCAGTTCTCTTCTTTTTCAATTTGGCTTTCTATGCCTCTTCCCTCGTTCCCTTTGCTGCTTGTTTGCCCACCCACCTCCCCCATGTCATCCACCCTTCGTGCAATTGGTCGTTGTCTAATGCCTTGTTGCTTGTTATCATTCGCTTCGTATCTTGCCTTTGTGGCTTTGGTATGACATTCCATGGGTATCGGTGATAGACGCAGGAGAACACCTGGTGTTGGCTACTATGCCAATGATGATGATGACTTTGACATCAATGCTACCCCTTCTCCCCCCTTCTCTTCCCTTCTTCGCTATCCATCTCATGTGTTCTTTCATCGAGGGAACCACTGCATTTCTTTGGTCTTGTCTGTAGGGATTGTTTGTTCGTGGCATTAATCAATCCTATAGATGCGTAGTGCAGTGCAAACAACATGTGAATGGATCTATGTAAAGGTTCCCGTGTTTTCAGGCTGCTATGGTTGCTGATGCATTTCTTCATATACATACACACACAAACCTGCGCGCGCACACACGCAGACACACACACCTGCGTGCGCGCGCACACACACACACACACACACACACACACACACACACACACACACACACACACACACACACACACACACACACACACACACACACA